CTTGTCGTGTGGCTGCGATTGGTTGAACTTTTGAAAAGCTGGAGGAGAAGACGCTCTTCATGAAAACATCCTTTAGGTCTTTTTTTTTTTGTTTGTTCCTGGTGACAGCTGTGGCAAAGCACTAGTGCCAGCTACGTTAACAATGGGCATGAAGCCGTGCAAACGGAAATCACTTCCTGACAGGCATGGGCTGCTGGTGGTGTGGCTGGTTTGTAGAGATCCCCCCCCTTTATCTGCTGCTCATACACGCTTTATCTCCATGGCTGTCGCCCGGTACTGCCATATACCCCCCCCTCAGTGTGATGGTACTGGTGATTAAGGTCAGATTAGTCGGGGCCTATTTAACCTCTGGGGATAGAGCAGGCTTGGGTTACTCTTAAAGGGGCTGTCTCAGTTTTCACGTGGTCCAACCTTTTTAATTCCTCCCTATCGTTCCAGGTGACCCCCCAGAGTTGCCTGAGGGATGGGTGTCACATTTCTCTTTTTTTTTAATTTTTTTTTTTTGTTTTGTTAAAGAACCAGGTTTAATCTGATAGGCTAGAGTCTGAAAGCCACCCTGATCTCCAGTGGCTGTCTTGCTGGGTTTGGACACGGTCAGAGCCGCACGGCGTCGGGGAGGATCTTCATGGATAAGGTGCTGAGCCCCACATGCAGCCGTCAGCGCCAGCCTGCTCCTCTGTGTTTGTTTCATTTTCATAGTATCACGTGTTGGTTATATTTGGGAAGCTGACACATGCCGCGATGTGGCAACTGTCGAGTCGGATGGATTAGTCCTTTTTGTGTGTGTGTGTGTGTGTGTGTGTGTTTGATTTCCTGATACAAATAATGCCCATACGTAGTACAATACATGATTGCAAGCTTTCTTTGAGTATTTCCTGCTGTAATGTCGGTGGCCATTTTGCTCATGAAGGGGAGCGATGCAGCAGTGCAAGTTCCTGCATATCCGTATGAACAGTCCCTACTGTGGCACTCAATTGAAAGAGCTAAATATAGATATGCATTATTTAACACTTTATATGAAAAGCCTGAGCAGTAGGGGAGGGGCCAGCATTCCCACTCCAAAGACGGTCAATTGCCAGCCGTCTGTGAGCTTTACCATGTATGTGACTGAGCTCACATTAAAAATAATACTTGCCTGGCTGGCTGTGCTGTCACTTACTGCCACACTGTTATATGTGAACAGGCACAGGGACTGGGCCGCCTGCGCGGGGCTAGGCAGTGATTTGGCGCTGATGGCCATGGTGTTTGGGTTTGAGTCTGAGAGGGTGGGGCTCTCATGCCACACAAGCCCTGCATGTTGGGAAGTGGGGGCGGGTGCTGATTTCTGGCTGTTTTGCACCAATCAATAGGCCAGTCGTGGCTGTAATTGGTCACCATCCGACTGATTTTTAACAGCGGCAGGGTCACCGTGTGGTCTGTTTACCGTATACCTGCATGCTGAGCTACCCCCAAACAGCAAGTCGTACCAGAATACCATAAAGGTGAATTTGGGGCAGAGCATTTCTTGAGGGGTGGGTGGGGGTCAGTTTGTAGTTCTCGGAATTTTATTAATGTTTGTTTTTGCCTGACTCCCTCACGGGGTCTGTAATGTCTCCTCTCAGTGGCTTCCTGCAACGTCGTTTACACTTGGGGGGGGGGGGGGGGGGGGGGGAACGGGGGTGTGAAAATACTGCAGGGCTGCGGAACCTTTCATTTCCTGCTTCCTGTGGCCAATCTGTCCTCGCAGGACAGCCCCACACTCTCCCGATAATGCGAGGAATGCCAGTAATGTGAATTCTTGGATATTTAATTTGCCGTCCTGGTGCTTGGGCCCGATGCATTGATTTATTAGGGCGGTCTTTAATGTAGGCAGCTGTTTTGCTCTAAAAATAGGTCAGGGGTCAGATGTAATGACCTTGTTTTTACAGGGAGGAAGAGTATTTCAGAATCGGCGGGGTGGGGGAGGGGTCCACTTTCAAACGCCACGCCATAATTAGTGCCCGTGTTCCCATCTCATCTGTCCTAACATTCAGCTCTTTATTATTTTTATCTTCATGGTCCCCTAGTTGGTATCTCGCGCATAACCTTCACTTCACCGCTGCACGAGGACCTCTGATCTGGGGGTGTACCCATCCCCTTTGGGCCGAGGGCCGCCTGACCCACAGCCCTGCTCAGGCTCCCTGAACTCTCCAGACAGGCAAGTGCTGCCCGTTCAAAGCGAAACTGCTCCTTCGAGGGCCGTTCACAAGACTTCCCCGAGTCCGCGACCTCTGACCCCGAAGGACATTAATCACTCCGCCCGGCTCCGTCCCACAGGGCGACATGGCCAATTAGAGGCCGTTTCAGTAGCACACTAATGGCCAGTGACGTGATCCGAACATACGGGGAGCCAATCCCATGCGAAGCTGGCCTCTCAGTGTAATTGCAAAGCTGCTTTATTGGAACCAGATGAGCTAGCATTAGAGTTAATATGACAGTGTCACAGTTTTTTTTTTAAATGTGTCCTTTAATACAGCGGCATAAGAATAACGCCAATGAGCGCACTCACACTTTCAGAGGGGTTAATATAAAAAGTGTGTTAGCTGTTCATCTGATGCGCCCCTCCCCCCCCATTAACTCCAATAACGCGTCTATTCAGTCTGTAGTCACTCCGTGGTTATGGCAGATCAATGGATCATTATCAGCTGCATCTGCTTTCGCTTAACAATTTGGTACAAAGTCTGCGCAGAGAAAAACGGGCCTAGCTTTTATTCAGCTTTATTTTATTCAGCTATTCACACTGTTTCAACAACTAAAACTAAAACTTGCTGCTTAATCGTGGTAAGCTATTTGGCAAAAAGAGATGAACTACTTAACTGCAGATTTTATACTTTTATTATATTATCTCTAATATTTGTTCCTTAAAAATCTACACGGCACACACTGTTTCAACAACTAAAACTAAAACTTGCTGCTTAATCGTGGTAAGCTATTTGGCAAAAAGAGATGAACTACTTAACTGCAGATTTTATACTTTTATTATATTATCTCTAATTGAAATGGCTCTCCAACCTCCTTCATGAACACGCTTCCAGTTCCGAAAAGCAGCTGTGGATGTAGATGCATGCATTAATTTAATTAAGGATGATACATTTCAGCTTTAGCTTGTCATGCGGCCGCGATGGGTTGAACTTCGAAAAGCTGGAGGAGAAGGCGCTCTTCATGCTTACTGCTGACCCACACTTTAATTTGTACATCAATAACCTCTGGTCGACCTCTGACCCCTGCTGCTCTTGTAATTGGTTGATGTGTGATTGATGTGCGATGCCTTATTTAATAACTTTCTCAAGACTCTCTTCTGGCTCCTTTTTGGCTTCTTTCCCCACATGGAACCTTCCATACTGGAACCCTGCATAGTTTATCTGATACAGGCAGCATACTTGGTTTAATGTTTATTCTGTAAAACCTGATGCTTCGTGTTGTGAGCTCTCTCTCTCTCTCTCTCTCTCTCTCTCTCTCTCTCTCTCTCTC